ATATTTCCTCCCATCTTCTGGTGCCGGTCTGTCGGGGGGGGGGAACTTTCTCCAGGTCCGTATGAGACGTAACCAGAGCTTATCTGTGGGGTCCCCGTTTCTGTATCTCCTGGTTAGCCTCCAATACCTGTCCTCCAGCCATACACAGGGATCAATTTCAGGTGGGGATTCTGGGGCCAGATCGGAGATTTGTGCCAGGGCAAGGGGGACCCATGGAGAGGTCGGAGAGAAGATAATGTGCTGAAGCCAGCGAATTGAAAGTGCCTGGAATTGTGTGGCCGGATCCACAATTCCTAGTCCACGCTTGTTCTTAGGCTGGATTACAGAATCCCATGCTACTCGGCTTATCGCGTGGGTGTTGTTACTATCTCCCCTCCATAAGAAGGCCGCTAACTGCTGTTTGAGCGCTTTGAGCCCACCATTGCTCATTGGCCACAGGATGGCTTTGTACCAAAGCGTGGCTAGAACCACGTTGTTGATGACGAGAGCACGCCCAAAAATGGACATACGCTTGTTGTTCCATTTTTCGAGCTTGGCTTGTGCTGGGCCCGACAGCCACTCATCGTTAGCTGCTGGCTTTCCATTGGCAGTGACCAGCGCCCCTAGAATCCTTTTTTTTTTTTTTTTTTTTTTTTTTTGATGGTTCCATCTATTGGTGGGGAGCAGCACCTGCTGGAAAGCGGGTCCAGCGTCCCTTGTTACATTTTATGGAAGTTTGAAATTTTGACAGTAGCACGTACGTACTTGTTCAGACGGGTCTGCTTCCTATTGTCGGGGGATAAACCCGGTTGCGACACCACCTTACCAGTCTGCTCTGTATAACCTTCCAGGTCGTGAACCCTTTTAGAACCTCTGACCAAATCCTCAATTCTGATACCCCCCGGCCTGTTTAGATCTTATAAGCAATGTTTCCCCAGACCCGACTGGCCAGAGCCGGCCGGTCCCATACGCACACCCCATTCCCTACTATCCCCCGTTGTGTACTTTCTCCCCTCATTCTATCCAGGCAGTCTTTTGCCCCTGCCATCCCCATACCCTTTCCGTTCAGTCTCTTCATACATTCTAAGCCTGACATCCGTATCCCTAGTAGTTTTGCCGCATGCCCCCGAGCTCGTTCATACGCTATTACCCTGTATTCAGATTATCTCATTTGACCTGACGGGGCATGACTCACCCGGGTGGAGGGGCTAGACGAAGGTCGAGAGGCGGGAGAGGAGCAGGGAAGAGGGGTGGGGGGAGCGGGGTGCTGTCAAAGATCGGGGACGGTAGGCGGGGGAGGGTGCTGGGGGGGAAGCAGAATAAAGTTTTGTTCTTGGTGAGGAACTGTAAAGTGAGACCGAGGGAGTCTTTCCCATGTCAGTTCTTCTGCCGCCCACCTATTCCAGACTAAGTTTTCCTGGTGATCCAGTTTCGCCAGCTTTCTACTTTGATCCAACCATATGGATTCAAACATATCTTTGCACTGTTGTCTCTCAGTCTGGTCTTTCATATCTGCAAGGTCTTTTTTGAGCTGTTTCCAGGCCGCTTGGGTATGGTTGGTGATTGTTGCAATCACCACCTCCCGCGCTTGTAGGAAGCCAAAGAAACACTTATCCCTTTCATGGGAGCACCGCATCCTCCAGGCCAGCATCAATAGAGTAAGTCTCATGTACGAGAAAAGATTTGCTGCAAAGGCATCCCATTTTTTGAGGAGAGGAGAGTGTTCACCCAGTAATATGAGTGGGAAGCTCCAGGGGAGATGCTGGGCCGTGAGGTAGTGCCACAACGAATCCCACCAGCACCATAATTGCGCCACCATTGGGCAGGCCATTAGGCAGTGCTCCAGCGTTGCTCTCGCCGGCGGTGAGGACTTCCCGCAGTAGGAGCAAATCGGGGAGAGAATGCCAGCTGCTCTAGATTGGTGCGGGAGACAATCCAGTCGGGGGTGGGGAGGCATTTGTGGAGGATCTGCCTCTGAAGGGCTCGGTGGGCCGTTGGCTTGATATTGGAATACCGGGACCATGCCAGGTCAGTGAGGTCCTGTTGAGCGAGCGGGGAATCTCTTTCCCATCTGTTCTTTACCACTTCTGTTATCGGTGGAGTGACGCGCATGACCCTGTACCCCTCCTTGACTGTGTACTCCCATATAGGGGTCTGCTTGCCAGTCTTCCATTCCCATTCTGTAGGATCAAAAGGCAGCTTGCTGATGGGGGTGTTAGGCTCATATGCCCATTTACGCTGTTGATTATTCTCCAACACCCTCACCCTCATGAGTTGGTAAGGTGGCATCTCACAGTCTCTTTGTTCTTGCCTGGTGAGCTCAGACCACCTTTCACCAGGCAGACCCATTTCATGAGCTTCCAGCTTGGCCAAGTCCGGACCTGCGTGTGCGACCCTATACACTGCTGTTGGTATGGGGAGGGAGCGAAAGTGGACCACCCAGTCCCCAACCTGAAGTGTCGGACCTGTTTTCAGAGCAAGTGTCCAACCTATGGGGATGGCCTCAATTATTTGGGCCCTTTTCTATTCCAGGTTTGTTCCTTGAGTTTGTCCAGCGTTTTCCAGTTACCTGTTGTTGCATCCCACATGTCCCCTACTGTGTAAACACCTTTTTTCACCCAGGACAGCCATACTGAGTTTTGGTGCAGGGGAAAGGCGGTTCCCGCCTCATCCAATATCTGCAGGTTCCCGAAAAGTGGTTGTCTCCACACTTCATGCCACCTCAGTGGCGTCGCAGTCTGCGTAGGGCCCTTGGTTCTCCACAGACGAAGCCTGGAGGCCCACAGCGGGTCCACTTGCAGGTCACATTTTGCTTGGTTCGATGGTGTGCCGTCTCTCCTAGTTCTCGCTGGAGATGGAACAGTCCAGCTGGCATTTGTAAAAACCATTGCAGAGGGTGAAGAGGAGAAGGCAGTCCGGCGTCGGGGGCCAAGTTACTAAGTTGGATGTGTGCCAGGGGGGACCAGGGAATATCGTTACCTAGCAGCAGTCTWGTTATGAACTTAAACAATAATGCATCTATTTCGTCTGCCGGATCGATAATCCCTAGTCCCCCCTTGGCTCTTGGTTGGGCCACATACTGCCAGGCCACTATGTACAAGCATTTGCTATCACCAATCTCATTCTTCCATAGGTAGGTGGCCGCCGCTCTTCGCAGGTTGGCCAGTTGTTTAGCTGTTAAACGCCAAAATGCTGTTTTGTACCAGATTGAGGCGAGGATAGAGTTATTTATGGCAAGGGCCCTTTCAATTAGCGAGGTGTGAATGCCCTTCCATTTCGAAATTTGTTTAAGGGCCAATTGGACTAATGAGTCCCCGTGGTCAGGAGGCGGACCAAGCGCCGTGAGTCTGACTCCCAGCACTCTGATCGCCTCGTCCTTTGCCCGCCATGTGACTTCCGGCTGCGCTGGTGGGAGACAGGCTTGTGTGTGAAGCCACCATCCCTCCGTTTTTGCCCCCCAGTTCACCTTCATGTCGGCGGCTATGGAGAAGAGGTGGATGACCTCCTCCACTGCTTTCAGGCTACTTTCGTTTGCCTTTACAAGGACCGTGAGGTCATCCGCAAACAAGGATGTCACAGGGACAAGGTGGGGGGGGATCTCAGGGATGTCTATTTTTTGGATGCGAGGGTGGGCCCTTATCATTGCTGCTAGGGCTTCCATAACAATGACAAAGAGCAACGGGGCGATCGGGTCTCCTTGTCTCACCGAGCGTTGGAGCGGGAAAGGAGGTGAGAGATGGCCATTCAGCATGATGTTGGTATAGACAGTCCTGTGCAAGATGCTAACCCACTGACAGAAGGCTTCGCCAAAGTTCATCCTTTTCAGGCACATGTCAAGGAAGTCCCAGTCAACGTGGTCATAGGTCTTTTCAAAGTCTATGAACATAATTGCCGCGTCTATGTTGCGTTGCCGAGCATACCTGATGGTTTCATTTACCAGCAGGATGTTATCTTGGATGTTTCTATTTGGCATGAAGCCTGACTGGTCTGGGTGAATGATATTACGCATCAGAGGGAGCAGTCTATTTGTTAAGGCTTTTGCCACCATTTTGTAAGGAAGTGGGAGAAGCGTGATTGGGTGATAATTACGTATGTCCGTCTTGTCCCCCTTCTTATATAGTAATGTGGTCACCCCTTGTCTCATCAGACCCCCAAAGGACCCCTGATGATGGACAGCTTGCACAAAGCACATAATGTCATCTTTGAGGAGTCCTCAAAAGTGTACCCAAAACTCCTTAGGGAACGAATCTAGGCCTGGCGTTTTCTCATTCTCCATGTCTTTCAAGGCTTCCCACATCTCTTCTTCTGCCAATGGGGCCTCTAACTGGACCTTTTGTACGCCCGTTAACCTCGTAGTGAGTGAGTGAACCATGCTTGTTCTGGCGCGATCCAATTCCGGCGGGTCCCACTGGTGAGCTTGGGAGGTGAAGAGGTGTTTGTAGTAGTCTGAGGCATAGTCAACGATCTGGTAGGCGTTCCTGGCTATGGGCTTGTCGGGCAGGAACGGGTGCCTCATCTCTGACACCGTGTTCTGTCTCGTCCTGGCCTTAGCTTTGGCAAAAAAAATTTTGGCCATCGTCCCATCTGTCTGATCTTTCTTTATTTTGGCCTGGATCCGCCATGCATTTGCCTGGTGATCCATATGTTCCTGCAGCATTGCACTTGATGTCTGTAATCTATTGAAGATGCGCAGGTCCAAGGGGTTTTGATTAAGTTGGTCATCCCATTCCTCCAGATCGAGCAGCAACCTGTCCAATATTGTTCTTTTGTCTCTGGCGTGTTTTATGACATACTTTTTGGTTCGTTCTCGTAGTCGCGCTACCCCTTCATTAAACCATTCCACCACACCCTCATATGATTGCCTGACAGACTGCCAATATTCCCATAATTCCTTAACCATGGTCTGAAATGTGGTCAAGGATAATAGAGATGTATTGAACTTGAAGAAGCCCGGGCCTCTTGTTATGTGGCTGTGAAACGAGAGCCCCACCGTGATCATCCTATGATCAAAGGATTTGCAGGGGCTGAAGGGGAGCACCTCTGCTGCTGTGAGCAGGCCCATCAAGTTTGTCGAGATCAAGGAGAGGTCAGTTCTTGAGTTCGACAGGCCGGCTTCTCCTCTCGATTTGAGGCACGTGAACTTATTTTGGGAGGGGTAAAGGGTACGGAATGCGTCTTCCAGCTGGTGTTGGGCCATGAGCTGAGATAGTACCAGCGCATCCGGTCCGGAAATCCCCAGAGCAGCCGCTGTTTCTTGAGAGGACGATTTTCTGTCCATTGCAGGATCCAAGGTGGTGTTGAAATCACCCATCATAATTATCGGGGCATCCTGCGGGAGGAGGTCTTGGAGGTCGAGGAGGAACTCGACTCTCTGAGGGATCTCGCACGGGGCGTAGACAGAGATTATGTAAAAGACTTCACCCGCTGTTCTCACCTTAAGAGATATCCACCTGCCGTGCTGTCTGTCCCAGTCTGCTTGGATTGGTTCAATCCTTGAAGAGGGGGGAAGCCATATTGCCACGCCAGTGGAAGCAGAGGATCTCGCTGGTGCATAGTAGGCTGTGAAAGGCCAGACCCATCTGCCTTTAGCGGTGTGGTTCGGGGAGTCTAAGAGATGTGTTTCTTGAACACACACAGCGTCTAGCCAGCGACCGGTGGCAGGATTTCGGATCATATTAGTGATTGCATCCTTTTTGGCCTGCGTAGCTGTTCCTATTCCGTTCACATTTATGGAGCGGATATCAATGTCTGCCAGACTCAGTTTTTTCTCCCAGGCAGGAGGTTTGCGCAGTTGGGGAGGGACCAGAGGAGAGCGGGGAGTGGCCGGAGGCGGTGTGGGTGGTGATATGTCACACGGGGGAGGGGGAGGGTCGACCGATCGGGTGGGCGGAGGAGGCTACAGCATGAGGTCTAAGGGGCGCAGACCGTCTTGGCTGTAATGATCTTGGGTTGATGCAGATTGATAGCAGGCGTGATTCATAATCAATCCTTGGAGCATTTGAGGGTTGACTTGAGAGGACGCACAAACGGGGCGTCGTCCCACTGATTATGTGCCCCCAGAAGATTTTCTTCCAATATCACTCGCGGAAATTTCAGCACCTGTGTTGTTGTCCAAGTGCCGTTTGTTTTGACTGCTGCAGATGCAGTGTCCAGCAACTGGACCTGAGTCAACCATTTCAGGGACTGGTGTTTGTGCTTTTTGTCGTGATTAAACAGCAAGATGAATGGGGTAACCCCTTTGGGGAATGGCGAACTTTGGGGAGACACTACTCCCATCACTCCCAAGTCGTTTTTTACTTTCACCAGAAACCTGATTTTGGTTAGGGCAACAAGTTGGGAGGGGGATCCTCTCCAGCCCTCCAAGGTAATTCCCTGCAGAGCCGAGTACCCTTTCGTTGTGTCAGTCTGAAAGTCCTCAAACTTTTCCACTTGGGTTCGCATCCCAAGTTGCCAGTTCCCTTCTGGCGCTGTTCTTCTCAGCGGGATGATGACTGCTCCTGCAAAGATCGGCCTGTGGAGTTGTATGTTCCCTGCTGCGGTAAAGAGACATGCTATTTTTCCTCTTGTGCCTGTTCAACCTACCCGGGACTCGCCTGCAGGCACTGGCTGGACCACTTCGCTATCCGGCTGTTCACTTAAGTCTATGACTTGTACCTCTTGGGTACTTGGCAGCATGGCAGCCGGTTTCAGGCCCACCACCTCAGATGGGGCGACCTGCTGGTCTTCTATGGCAGGGAGTGGCACGGTGCAGTCATGAGTCGGGCTGGAGTGCAGTCTATGGGTGAATGGGAAGTCTGCAAAGGGCTCTTCGGGCCCCGAATCCGAGTCCGATTCTGAGTCGGATTGCTGATCCAATGATGGCTGCGGGAGGGTCGCCAATATGGCGCCCAGATCCGGGCCCTGCCGGCAGCCGCATTTGGGTGGGGCTGTTGTACATGCATCAGCATCAGGTCCGAGCAGGTAGTTGGTATTGCTATCTGTTGCAGGTCATGGACCAGCACAGCTGGCGAGGACAGTCCTTCAAAGCAGAAATCTTGTTGCATGTCAAAAGGGGCATCGCTGCTGGCATTGGTTGACATCTGGTGATCAGCCTGCTTCCGCCTTGCCTGCAGCGTGAATCTGTAGATCTCTGTTCTGAAGTCACTGATTGTCGTAATAAGTTGTCGTCCCACTGTGACCTAGTCCACACTATCAGCTTTCGGGAAGCTCTCCACTAGTAGCAGCACCCGCGGGCTGTACATGAGGGCTCTTCTTATCTTTTCCCAGTGGAGGGGGGGAATGGAAAGCTGGCCAGGTTCCCGACCGTGGAACAACATTCGCATTAATATTTCATCAGTAAGAAATTTGAGCTTTTGTTTGACCTGTCGGTTCGCTGAGATCTGTTTCGGAGCCGGCGCTGGGTGGGGCAGTACCGAGCTTTGCGGGTGTTGTGGCTCGGATGCGGGCATCCCTGGCTGCTGCAGAGGTGAGCTTACCGTCTGACCCGTATTCGTCAACTCCTCCTGCTGGAGGACGCCCTCCACCAGTCTGCGGACCGGGGCCTCTGGGTCGGTCGTCACCAGCATTTGGAAATCCCCATTTAGGTCCCTCCCCGGACCCGGGTCGATTTCCATATCTGGGGGCGACTCCTGCAGGAGATTTGATGTTGGGGGTGGTCCCATATCGTCCACAAAATGGAGGCCGTCCACCCGACCCACCTGGCCGGCCTGTGATGTGTAGTCGGGGAAACGGGGAGCATTGGTTTGCTCGAGTCCCTGTTGCAGCATGATTCGGGGTGTATGTGAATGAGGCAGCTGATCTGTCAGGCCTTACCCATGGCTTGGGTTGTTTGCTTCCCCCGATGTCAGGGGGAGGTCGCCCGTTCCGATGTCCCCTGGTTCTCGTTGTTGTGTAGCAGATGTGCCCACTGCTGGTTCGTTCTGTGCTAATTGCGGATGCCTGGATTGGTTGTGCAGGTCATTAAGGTACTGCGTATGCAGGTCCATCTGACCCTGCTGCGGAGCCAGGTTCAGAGAGGAGTTCAGGGAGAGCAGTGGGGGCCGCGAGGGACCTGGTGCCACGGTAAGGGGGGCACGGGGAGCATGCAGTGACGTATGGCTTTCGTCTGCTGGTGGGGCGCCTGCTGTGAGCTCAGTAATCCTCTGAACCCAGTTGCCTTTCGCTATGTAGTCTTTCATGTGGTCTTTCATGTGATCGACCACCAGTTTAACCGTTCTGGTCACTTGGTCCATCATCGGTAAGGCCATGGGGTGGTTTGGGGTGGGGCTTGATTTGTGCAGGTTCGGTTGGAGCTGTCTTTCCGGGACAGGTTCTGTTTGCGGAGCGGGTTGTATCAAGAGCTCCGACAGACGACCTGTTGTGGGCCCAGTTTTAGTGGCCATTATATTAATCCCATTGGCCTGACGGTCACAGTTTGATTCCACAGTGTGTTGGTGTCCTCCTCCCTGCCCCGGTTTGAGGAGAGTCACCATTGTTTCTGGTGAGTTCGTTTCCGCCTGGCCTGGTTGTTCTGCAGTTACCGGGCCCGGAGAGGGGTCGGTGGGATAGGCAGGAAGTCCTACCACCGTCCTATGTTCTTCTGTCGGGGCTGGCAGTGCGAGGGCCTAAGGTCCTGCAGTTATGGGGCCCGGAGAGGGAGTGGTGGGGAAGGCAGGAAGTCCTACCACCAACGCATGTTCTTCTGTCGGGGCTGACAATGCAGGGGCCTGAGGTCCCGGCAGTGCAGCCTCTCCTAACATGTGACCTGTGTCCTATTGCGTTGCGACTGTTCCGGGGTTCTGAGTACGGTATTTCTCTGACTAGCCATCCCGGGTTGCGGTTAACGGAGGGTCGGCACGAGGACCAATTGTCGTCGTGTGTCCCTCTGCCGAGGCATGAGGGCCAGGGAGGCGGCAACCGCTATCATCTGGCCTGTCCTCTTCCGGGCCTGCACTGGGTTTGTCCCCTTCTGTGTCGCCACTGTTCCAGGCATCCGAGATGGATGTGCCTGTACTTGGCAATCCTGAAGTGCACTTACCTGATGGGGTAGGGGAGGAGACAGGAGTTTGAGTTGAGAGTTGTCCTGGCCTGTTGAGGGCAGGAGCTGTGGCTCTTCATTGGCAGGGTACATGAGAGGCAGGAGTTTGAGTTGAGGGTTGTCTTGTCCCGGCCCAAGCGAGGGCTGCTGGTCCTCACATGTATGATGCCCCGCTGGCAGACCCTGAATTATAATTTTTGTGTTCCTCTGGTGAGGGTGTGGAAGGTCATCCCTGTCTAGCTCCTGTATCTTCAGAGGGGCGTGGCCAGGAGGAGATTGCTGCTGCTCATCTACCCCTTCTGACTCCTGCAGTTTCAGAGGAGCTTGGCCAGGAGAAGTTTGCCGCTGTGTACCTGGCAGTGCAGGTAGGCCTACCACAATTGTGTGCTGTAAGGGGTGAGGGGCAGTAGTGTGTGATATCTCCCTTACTGCTTGTGGTTGTGCTTCGGTGAGTGTAAGTGCAGTGACTGCAGTGTCTCCTTGGGGCCGCTTCCCATTCTTCCTATTCAGGATGAGTGTGGATATCTTGCCCTCTTCCGTGTCTGAGACATCTACTCGGGGCGTTGCGGGAGAGGGGAGAGGAGACACGACTTCGTCCTGCAGGGGCTATTGTCTCCAGTGTTTTGTTGCCTTCGCCTTCTGCCTCCCCTGTTTATGTGGTCCTACCATGTTGACCTCCCGCTGGTCCCGCAGGTCAGCAGCCGCACCTCGGGCCAATGTTTGGGCTTTCAGCCGCGTTGCAGACTTGTAGATTTGTGCACCCTCCGGGTAGGCCGTCGGCCTGTGTTGCAGTTGCCATTCCCAGATGCCCGGCCGATTATTAGTGTTTTCTCTGAAGATCCAACCTTGTAGGTTGGGGTCTTCCGGGACCCAGGCACCGTGGATGGTTGAATGTTTATTGACTAGACCCTTGGTGCGGTGTCTGCGGGATCTCGGACAGTCCTCATTTGTGCAAAGATGGCCGCTTTCCTTGCACGCGTAGCACCACGGGTCTTGCGTGTGGCTGACCGGGATCGAAATGAGTTTTCCCCCCTGGTTGTAGTTCCACTCGCGTGAGACCGGGAACTGCTCAGCCGGGTCCCATTCGACAGCGACCAAGAGGTTGTCGTCTCTTCGCGACAAGAACTGTGGGAGGTCGTTGATGTAGCCCATCACCAGGGCAATGGTTGCTAATTCTGCCAAGAAAGCTCCCTGTATACTCACCGGTGCAAATCGGTACTCAATCCAAAAATTGGCCTTCATTAGCTGCTCCCTACGCTCGTCCGATGTTAGTGTCTCCAGTGGCTGCCATTCCGATATCTTCACAGTCCTCCCTCTGAAGTACTTATTGGACAGCTGGAGGAGTGTCTTTTTGTCCTGTTCATAGAGGGCCATGACTGTGACTGTATCCAATCCGTCAGTTTCGACGAGAAAGTGGTCATCTGCCGCCTGGTCCGAGGTTTTGATTGATCGCAACCTCGCCCTAACCCACCTTATCTTTTCATTGATGGGCTCCCCAGTGTTGTTGATGGGGAAGAGGCATTGGACCGCATGAGTAGAGTACACAAAATTCCGGATTGTTGTTGCCTGCAGAGAGAAGAAGGAGATTGGTGTCACCCTTCCCTGCTTCATCAGATGTTGGATCTGGGGCGGGACATGCAGACGTTGGATGAAATGGCTTTTCAGCGGGTTGATTTGAGAGGGGGACAAACTGCCCCGGGGGTTCTCATGGCCCGCCGCCAGAGCCGCCATCAGAGGCGCATTCGGTGAACCACTGGGTGGTGACAAGGGTGGTGCCGGCAAGCGAGCCAAAGATTGTGGGAGTGATTGAGCGACCTTTGCTGCCCACGTGGTTTGTTGCCTTCCATGCAGCGATTGCCTCCCCTGTCCCAGCGACGTTGGTTGTACCGGGCTGGGGGGGATGGCTGCTTGGGGCACATGCTCGCTGCTCCCAACTCTGTTCCCACCCTTTCGGGCCTGCGGGCCTGCAGTTTTGTTGGGGTTTGCGTTGGACCCTAGCCCCCCACAAACGGGTCCTCCTGTGCTCGTGTGGGATGTTCCCTCGATAGGCACCTCCGTTTCCCCCCCCCCACCATCTTTACCCCTCTGGTTTCCTCTGGTCGCATTCTCACCAGACTCTTCCTCCTCTCCCCCCTCTCCGCCTGCTGTCTTCACGTTCAGCCCTCCAGTAGTGGCTTCCATGTCTGAGCGATCGTCGTTTTCCGAGTGTGATTTTGTGTCAGCATGGGGCCCGGGCTGCAGTTGCATCTGTCGACCTGACACAACCGGATTTCCCGGTGGTGGGGGGCGGGATGGGGGCCCCTCGTCCCCAACCCCGTCTGCAATCGGGCAGTGTTGTACCCTGTGATTTTTATTTTTTAATTTTTGCTTCCTTTTAAGCGTTTTTTGAGAACTTGTTTTCATTTTAGAAGTCGAAGACGCGTCAGACGTCTTTGCCTGATTGGCTAGGGCGGCATCCCACGTGTCGCCTGTGGGACCGCAGGTGCTGTCCTAGAGTGCTATTTAGTGGACCGTAGTGCAAGAGGGTGTATTTAGGGCATGGGAGTCAAAGGAATCAGGCAGGGATCAGGTGGGTGGGTGAGTCAAGCCCCAATCTCAGTCAACATGAGATATACCTGAGGTATTCGAGTCTTATTGTCGTCACTCCACGCGCTTATCTTCTTCTGACCTTGTCATCGACACGTGCTCCTCGTGTCGATCACGACCCTTTCTCCTTTCCCTCCTTTGCCTCTTATTACTTCGTTTCCCAATCTTCTACTATGTCTCCTTTCCCGTTGCGCCTCCCTCCCTGTTGAGCCAATATGTCTTCTCCTCCTTTTTTCCCCGTTTCTCACCCTCCCTCAAGCCGGCCGGGCTACGCAACGTGCTTGATTCTGACGGAGCGCTCGGCCAAAGCCCTTCCCCTTTCTACGTTTACACAATAAGCCCGAGCTCGCCTCTTCTTTGTTATTAACCAATCTTCACGCCTTGTTTACGTCCTTTCTTCTTCAGCGATGTGTGCCTGTTGACCCCCTACCGTCCCCCGCCCTTCAGTGCCTGCAACCATGCCCACTTCTTCGTTTGACCATATGAAGGTCACCACCCATCAACCAGCTTGGATGACGGGGAAGAAGCGAGGTGCATGAAGGGGCGTCGTGTCACGTGGCAGCCTGCCACAATTCGACGAAGTCCCTCCCCGTAGCTTCAGCCGCCCGGGCCCAGTCGTAGCGGCGGCTCCGTAGTGCAGCGCTCTCTTTCAATCCAACCAATCCATAATTCACGTGTACTAATGATTGATTCTATAAGGCGGGATAATCAGAAGATCTCAGTTCACGATTTCTTGATTCAATTTCTTTCTATTGTTCATTGGGTGCTCTTCTGAATTTCTCAGTTTATGATTTCCTGATTCGTTTTCTTTCTGCTGATCAATTGGAATTTTCCTGATGATCGACATGCTCGGTTTAGACTTCAAACCTCGTATTGGAATTCCTATAAAAGCTTTCAAAAAAAACTTCTGATTCTCTATTTTTTTCCTATAAAAGCTTTTA